TAGACTCAGACTGGTGGGGGAAAGTTGTAAAAAAAATAACACTGGCGTTCTATATATTGACATATATTGATCATGCGCAGTATCACATTACAGTATTATAGTATTAAAACTATTCTTGATTATATTTTTTTCAAATCAATCGTTAAGACTAAATTGATCATTAGAACCACCCGGGGCACTGTCCCGGTTTACAATGTATTAATTTACTTGTAGCCTACCTATGTGACCTATGCACTTACTTGTAGCATGATAATATCCATAAACTGGACAGAAACACAAAACCATAAGCCACAAAAAACAACAGTAAATGGGGTAAAAAAAAAAAGGTGGTAAAGGAGGTTTAGTTATAAAAATCTCTTTATTTTCTCTTACATTTCTTGGAAATAAAGATAACAAAACATCCCGATCCCGATCCTCCTGAATTAAATTGTTATAAAAAATAATCTAATTTGATTACAAAGCATGCAAATTATCTGACATTTATCTCTTTCAGTGAGTGACGAAGATTTTGTTGTTACCAAACGAAATGGGGACGTAATGCTAAAGGAAAAAAGAGGTAAATTTTGCAAACAGGTTTTTAAATTAATCAAATTCTAACATTAAAGAATTATATTGATTGAAATAAATTTTCGTGCACATACAGAATGAATGGTTAATAATTTAATATATATGTAGACCAAGGTCTGTGCACGGGATGCTTCCTGGAAGAATCCAGTTCTTTTAGCGGGGGCACCCTACCTAAAGCCAAATTGAGATATAATAATCATATTCCTAGAGAAATAATCAGAAATCGAATACCAATCAAATAATATGATATATAGGAGTAGTAACCATATTTACTATGCAAAATGCCCCAACCACATAGTGTAAATTTATATAGATATTCAAATTCCATATCACATTAAACCTCAATAGTCAATAAAATAGCCTAAGCAAAATTAAATAACTTCTTATATACGATACCTTACTGTCATCTCAAATTAATTAAACATTTTAAGTCTGTTAACCAGAGAATAACTTTCAAACCTAATGCAAGGTGAAATAATTTAGATGCAGTTAATGAATGCCTAATGTGGAGTATCTCATCTGTCCAATGTCCTTGTAAAAACAGTCTGTTACAAGAGATATGAGTACTAATATTAACACAATGAACATGTTGGTAATTAAAGTTGGGAACAGAATGAACGAGATCCCATTCCTTTTAAAGTAAACAGTAAAACTGTTTTCAGGAAAAAGCGCGAGAAAAAACCCTAGGGGGAAGGGAGCGAAAATTTAAAGGGGGGGGGGACATCGGGCCCCCTTATTTTTTGAAAAATTTTCATTTTACCCACACTTTGGGGCCCGGGGGGGGAAACTCTTTTGGGTTTGGGAAAGTGGGGTTCCCCATTTTATTTTAAACCGGGTTTTAAATTTTAAAAACCCTTTCCCTTTTCCAAAGTCCCCCCTTATTTTTTCCCTGGTTATAACCCCCCTGTAAAACGGGGAAAAAAAAAACCCAAACCCCCCCCTTTAATTTTTTTTTCCTTAACCGGGGTTTCCTTTTGTCTGGGGTTTGGGATTTGTTTTATTAAATTGGGACTTTTTTGGGGTTTTTTTTCCTGTCAAACCTTTTTTTTCCCCCCCCCCAAAAGGGGGGCCCCTTTGCCACCCGGGGGACCCTGCCCAAACCCACCTTGCAAAAAAATAAAAAAGTTTTTTTCCCTCCCCAAAAGGATTTTAAAATTCAAAACCCCTTAAATTTGAAAAAAAAATACTTTTTTTCCCGGTTTTAATTTTTTTACATTTTTTGTTGTAAAAAAAATTTTTTTTAAATTTTAATTATTTTTTAATTAATAGGGGGTTTTTATTTTTTTTAAAGGGACGTTTTTTTTTCTTTTTTATTAATTAAAAACCCGGTTTATTTTTTGGAAATGTAAAAACTTTGAGTTTAAAAAATTTTTCCCCCTAAAAAAAAGAAATCGCCTAAAAAAAACAAGTTTTTTAGCTT